TTTTTTTTTTTTTACGTGGCTGTGGGGAAGGCGATGTTGTCAAATGAGATGAAGACGTAAGATAGCAGATAAAATGTCGTGTGAGAGGGAAGGTAGGCTGTGCGTAGATCGTTAGTGTTGTGGATGGTCCGTATGAGCACTGAATGTTGGGTATATCTCACTTGAAAAACGAAGCAGGCCTGTCTTCTCTTGGATGCTATTGCAGTCACATTCACTCTTACACGCGTTAGTGGTGTTCGAGGTCGTAGTGCACACCCTCATTGAAAGTCGCCCTCGTATTGCACTACCTCGTCGAAAGTCGCCCTTGATAAGTATGTCCTTCAACAAAAGCAGGGCAATGTTGTGCTTTCCTTGGTGGGTCCCTCGTGTCAGTGACACACCAGAGCTCGTGTGGCCGTAATGCACCTTTTCCATGATTGGAAAGGCGTGTTGCGGTTTTCTTCCAATTTAGTCGTTTCTCCCTGTTCCTCTTCTGTAAGATACCACGAGTATTCACGGGTAGAAACCGCCTTTCCTTTTTTGGACCTGTCCCCTTGCTCAATCAATCTCACTTCTCTCCTCACCTTCCTCATAGAGGAACCTGGTCCCTGTGGGCCCTATCCCACCGTTTACCCGTTACCGGCGAACGGCTGGATAGTGTTCACCCTCCTATTCCTCTTCGATGTCTACAGAAAAAAACGTTGTATCTTTTGTCTTGTACTCCTTGTAGTCTTTTGTCCTGTAGCTCCCTCCTTCGTTCTCCTTCGCTACCGTAGCAGCTCGCGAAACTTAGTTTCCCGTATACAACTCAGAGTCTGTATTGAGGCCTCGTCTTGTCGCCTCCTTTGCCCTATTCTGTTTCGACTCGATGAGGATTCGACTCGCTGAGGACCCAAGATCGTGTAAGCTATATCCCACCTTCCTTTCTGGTGAGTGGATGGTGCGATAGGTGTTGGATTTTTCTCCCCTAGATGCAGCTACACGTAAAAGACGCGTTGCACACCTAGGCGCTGGGCTACACCCACTCTCCCATGTGGCACGACACTCGGCGTTTGCATGCAGAGGGCGACACACTCGGGGGCCGTTACTCGGTGCAATGGTGTGGCGGCGTGGCATGAAACCTAGCGCTGCAAGAATGCGCTAACCCGCGGCGCGTTCGGTCACCGACAGAGGGGATTTCTACACTCTCGCTCCCCTGATCTGAAATCTTTTTTTTCTCCTTTTTTCTTTTTTTTTTGGGAACCTTGTTGTTTGCTCTCGTGTGGCCCACTTCATCTCAGAATGGCACTGAACCATTTAAGAGCCGCATCTCACTCTGATTCTGCTACAGCAGACCATTCATGCGGATGCTGATACAGTCTCTCTCTCTCTCTCTCTCTCTCTCTCTCTCTCTCTCTCTCTCTCTCTCTCTCTCTCTCTCTCTCTCTCTCGGTTTGTGTACCCAACCGCCCCGCCCCGACCGACACGTCGCTCCGCCCAGCCACACCTCGCAAAGAGGACCCCGCCAACCGGCACCCCCCCCCGGCGCGATTTTTCGTGGACCCGCCCGCCGCGCCCCTCCCGAACCGTCATGCGGCGCGCTGCGATTTCTCGTCGCCGTCCCACGTCGCTGTCCAACGGGCACGTCCCCACGACCCCTCGGTACCGCGCGCCAGCCTCCCTGCCCGACTTTCCCTGGGCCCGGCGGCAGCGTCACGCGAGGACCGGTTTTCCCTTTAGGGTATAAGAGAAGTTGTAACCCAGCTTGACTGTGTATTCTTGAATGGAGACATTAGTTTTGAGGCTTCTGCTTCGGTCTGGTGTCCAAGCCCACTCTGCTGGATCAAATTCCAAGTCTTGAATCGCCGTATCTATTTTGAAGATTGTTTCCGGCCATGAACCCAGCACTCTGACCTTTCTGAGTACCAAAGGATTTAGGAAACCTCCTTATTCATGATAGATGGAAGGCCTTGCGTGGAGGGGGTAATTGGGAAAGAGGTAAACACTGCCAGGTATGGGAGAATTGATAGGCCCTTTTGGGGGTTAAATACTGCACCCTCACTCCCCATTCCCCTAATTTCCAAGTTGAGACTTCGCTTAACAACTCCTTCCAGCCTTCTGGGATTCTCATCTCGTCGGCGACATCCTTTGAGCTGGGAGGCAAGTTCCTGGTCTGTCGTCCAGTCCTTTTTCTCCTCGTTCCAAAGATGGCTCACTTTCCAAACTCCATGTTTGATCCATGATAACCATCACCTTCCTCTAGGCTTAAGGGATAGTTGGTGACCATTTTCATCTCGCACCCACGGAGGGTTGCCTCAGTACCTCTTCTTTGGATTTGGGTCTACCCACTTTCCTTGGCATGACTTCCCGCCATATCTGTAACAATGCAGTCCAATATGGTATAGGGGGTCTGGCTTCATTTGGCTCGGTTCCTCTTCGTTGATTTTTGCGCCCTGTATTTGGACTCCATTCCTTGGTAACCCAGAACAGTCCGGACGTATTTGCTGGTGTGGCTATAGGTGCTAGAGCCCTAATGCTATCTAAGGCCAGTTTATTCCATGTCGTACCAGGTTTAGTCAGTAGTTTGACTATCCATTTGACTTGTAAGGCTTTGGTTACCTGTTTGGGGTCTATGATACCAAGACCTCCTTTGGCTGGTTTCCTTGTGATGTAATGCAGTTCTCTTTGTTTGGGTCACCCGACCACAAGTATGCTCTTGCTTTACGGTTAAGTTACTTGATTGTATGGTCCGGAACGGTTCAGATTGACGCTACGTACCACATCATAGCCCAAATAGATGTACTAATGGCTAGTGCACGCCCCAGCAATGATGTGAATGTATTACCCCATCTGCCCAATTTGTTAATTTGTTTGGTGAGTATATTTTGGGCCATTTGAGGGGCGAGGCCATCCTTTGTTAGCAAGATGCCTAGATATCGCGTAGGTGTCTCCAGTGTCTCCCATGTCATGTTTGCCTCAGGGCCTTGACGTTGGGGAACCTCCTCCTCTGATAGCCACCGACCGATTGTTTTCTTTCCAATTAATCTTCATTTCTGATGCCAGTCTGAATGCGTCCATTGCTCTTATGAACGCGCTGAACGACGAGTTGGAAGCTCTTATGAGGACCGTGAGATCGTCTGCAAACATTATTACTGTCGGGAACTGTATGTGGTGGGTTGATTCTACATTGAACCTCTGGTAGTCTGTGTATGGAGGGGTCTTTGCGTAGGAATGAGGCTATTGCTTCCATAACGAAGAGGAAGATTGGGGGAGCTAGCGGGTCCCCTTGGTGCACTGACCGAGAGATTGGAAAGCAGTCCGAGAGCAGGCCACTAACTTGGACACACTCTATGGCGTCATTATACAGAATGCACACCCACTTCTTAAAATTCGGCCCCACTCCCATCTTTTCCATGCTTGCATTGAGAAAGGCCCAGTTGACCTGGTCATAGGCCTTTTCAAAATCGAAAAAGAGAATTGTTGTGTTTATCCTTTTTTTCTTTGACTTTGTTGGCCGCTTCGTTGAGAGTCAATACATTATCCAGGATGTACCTCCCAGGGATAAAACCTGTTTGATCCTTATGAAAGCATTTGTCTGTCAGGTTTAGGATCTGAAAGGCAAGAGCTTTGGCAAGGATCTATAAGGAAGTGTTAGAAGCGAGATGGGCCTATATTTCGCGATATCTTCTCTCTCTCTTTTTTTGTACAACAAAGTGACCACGCTGTTACTCATTAGGTTTCCTAGTCCCCCATTGAGCCAACTGTTGTTGCAGAAGTTTAGCAAACCTCCTCCTAAGAGCATTCAAAACTTTTCCCAAAATTCTTTTGTCAGCCCGTCGATTCCTGGAGACTTATTGTTGTTCATATTTTGGACAACAAATTGCAGTTCTTCCAGGGTGATGGGCTTGTCCAGATCTTCTGCTTGTTCTTGAGATATTGTTTGTTCCAGGTATTGCAGCACCCTAGTTTGTGCCTCTCTGGTGCTGGGTGGAGTAGGCATAGGGGTCTTCGTGTGGTAGAGCTCTTCGTAGAATTCCTTTGCTACGTTCAACATTCCTTCGCTGTCTATCACTGTCTCATTTGGATTTGAGAGAATTTTCAGGTCTTCTATCGCATTGGCCCTTGAGTTTGCTTTAATTCTTGCGAAGAAGTGTTTTGACATTGGCTCGCTTAGCTCATATTCGTTCATTCTGGCTCTTATTTGTAGTCCCTTTAGTTCCCACCATCTCCACATAGTGATTTCTTCTCTTGCCTTTTCAAAGATGTCTCTGTAGAGTGTCGAAGAGGGGTTATCGATCGAGAGAAGGTTAACAACAGTCGTATTTTTCATCACCACTTCAAGACTCCCTTCACCACTTCAGGATGCAGCCAGCCTGCCTAAACAGGTGGTTTTCAGGGTCTTTGGACCTTTCACCACTTCAGGACCATTCATGTCTGAAAATCTTGAATGGTCCTGAAGTGGTGAAAGCTCCGAAGACCCTGAAAACCACATGTTTAGGCAGGCTGCATCCTCAAGTGGTGAAGGGTGGTTTTCATGGTCTTCGGACCTTTCACCGCTTCTGGACCATTCAAGATTTTCAGACTGTCAAAAACTCTCACTTGACTACTTCAGGACACCCTTCATCACTTCAGGATGCAGCCTGCCTAAACAGGTGGTTTTCAGAGTCTTCGTACCTTTCACCACTTCAGGATCATTCATGATTTTCAGACTGCCAAAAACTCTCACTTTAGAATTTTCATTCCTGAATTTTCAGCTACCCGATAACCGCTTGTGTATCGATCAGATTTGTCTCTGCGATCTTCAGGGCTGTCTCCAATGCTTGCTTCCTCTGTTTCCTGTCGGCCGCTAATTTCCTTGAGATTTTCGCTACCGTTTGTGATAATGTGGAGTAGCTTTCCTGAAACCACTCCCATCGATCCTGTATGGGTAGGTAGGTGCCCTTCAAATTCTGCCAACAATCCTGAACTCCTTGAAAATTCTGGCTCAGTAGGAGGGAGTTATTGAGTTTGTGAAAGTTGGACCCCTTTTTGACATATTGTTCGAAGTTGATTATTAGTTCGATGGGTTTATGATCCAAACCCGGGTACGGTGCGAAAGCCAGGATCTCGGCACTTTTGGCTGTCCCCATTAGCGTCCTTGAAATTAGGAAATAGTCGTTGAAGGAGAAAGCGGTATGGTGGGCATGGTTCTTCTTAACCAATGTGAAGACTCTTGTCCCCGAATGCGAAATCCGGTATGGTTCAACTAGATTGTAGTCCATCATCAACTTTTGGATGGGCACCGCCTCCCGTGTAGGCTGACCAGCCGAGGACCTAGATTACGATCTGTGGTGGGGTCTATAGTTGCGTTCCAATCACCGACCAAAATACAGGGCGATAAAGGGGGGATCAAATGATCGATGTTTATTATAAAAGTTGATCTGTCTGAACAGTTGTTCGATGCGTAAACATTGATTATTTTGAATTCTTCGTCCTTCCACTTTGCATCCATAAGGCACCACCTACCTTCTACCGTGTCCGCCTCTTTGCCCACAATCGACCCTGCCGTGTATAGGTGGGATGACTTGGGTACAAGGATGGTTGAACCTTTCGTACTTGACGTATTGTCTGAGGACCATATTTCATCTTCCATTCCTCCCTGTTTCCTTGATAAGAGTTTTCAAATTCTGTTGTGTTCGGTTGAGAACGTAAGGTGAGTTTCTTGTAGCAATATGATATCTGCCAGTTTGTTTGTGTAAACGGTAAGACCTTTGATTATATCTTGCATTTTTTCTTCTTTGTCGATAATATTTCCGAGCCCATTAATATTCCAGCTCTTAATGACTATCCCTTGTGTCTTCCAGTCCACCCGGTCTTCCTTTTCATTTGCCCCCTAAAAATCTCCACCCTTGAGGTTACGGGAAGAGGCAGGGGTACGATCATAGTGTAGACGTCCTAGGAAGGGGCCTGGTCGCTTGCATCCATCTCTGTCGACACATCACCCAGCAGGTCCTGAAGCACCGTCATGAGAGAATCATGTAACTTATACTCCCCCACACTTCCACTGGTTTCCTGTCCCGGGACAAGGGCCGATTCTGATCCTACTCCTTTGTTCTCATCTTCCCACTCCTCCATATCACTCTCGGAGCAATCACTTCTGTAATATCTGTCCAGGTCAATGGCGAACACTCTCGAGTCCAGATCACTGTCTCCCTTCAGAATCCCATGAGTCAGGAGGTGTCCCACTGAGACCGCCAGCAGTTCCGCTGGATTGACAGGTCCCGCCAGCGCGCTGTATGGAATCGTTGTCACAGTTCTCCAAGGCCTCCACATCATCCCACTCTTTAGCTTGGTTTCCTCTGACAATTTTGCAATCAAAGGGCAGAAGGTACGAGGGAAGTGTCTCTCTAGGTCCATATGATGGTCCTGCTGGTCCTCCTGGACTCCTTGGGAGGAACTGTCCTCCTGATCATCGTTCAGGGCAACTGTTTCCTTTGTTACCTTTTCTTGACGAAAGCTGGCCACATTTTGTCCTTCCTGAATCCTTGGGATTGTGAAGGACACATCTGTGCCGATCTACCATTCTCCCTCTTCTCGACGTACTTGGCCGCAATCAGCGGGCGGGTGTCCATCAATGTCAGTCGTGCTGATTTGGTCTAGGCCACTACATGAGGTGCCTCCCCATCTGCGATATGTTGAATGGTAGTGAACTCTGGTGTGTACTCTGCATTCCACTTTATTAACTTTCTGTTTGGGCCACAACAACAACCGCTTCTTTTTCCAAAAGTGAGTGTGCTGATTTCTCTTCTGCCTTTATTTTATCCGAATTCAATTCCTTATTTTTCTGATTTTTCCTTGTCTTCTATTTCTTTGGGCGCAGATCCTGAAAGTGGTCATTGGTGTTGAGAACTGTGTTATCCTTGTCTGCTAAGCCTTGTTCTCTCGCCCTCTTTTTTTTTGCATATCTGAAGGCAGTGTATTCATATAATTCCTCCGCCTTCTCTTTCTTTAGCGTGTCATACTGATTTTTTAACCTCTCAATGCCAGCGATTGTCCCATTCTTCCCATTTTTCTGGGACCTCTCAATGTGCTTCAGACAGGCTGCTCTGATGTCAAAAGCATGTTCTCTCTTTCTTTTGGCCTTTTCAATGTATTCCCTCAGCCACTGCATAGACAGTTGGGGCTCAGACGCATTGTCTATGGCTGTCCCCCCTGTCCCCTCACTGTCCTTGCTTGCTTTGTTGTCGGCATCATCATCGAGGGAATAAAAAAAACGTAATTTTCCTTTCCTCTTCTGCACTGGTCTGTTCTGTTCCCTTCTTCTTTTCTGAGTTTATTGCGTTTCTCTTTTTGAGACCCACCTCTCTCATCCCCTGAAAGTCGACTTCATCGTGCGTTCGTTTGTTATCTGCTTGCGCCTCTGCCCTTCTTTCTTGGGCCTCTTGTTCCAACCATAGAGTTGTCGGTTCTTTGTTGTATTCCTTTTCTGCCTGTTCTCGGACTGCGTCCAAGTCCCACAACAGATCTTCCCTGCCTTTTTCTTCTCTAACCACGCGTGAGTCAATTTGTGGGTTGGTGTTTATCTTTGTTGGATTTCCTATTACGTGAGTCAATTAGTGCGTTAGTGTTTATCTTTGTTGGATTTCCTGTTACTTTGCCTGTTGCTTTCTTCTGCCATCTGTTGTCTGTCGGGGGGAAATGTTGGGTTTTTTCACCGAAGGTTTCTGATCAACGTAGTGCCAGACCCAATCTGGGTCATCCAAATCGTCATCGAACACCCAACCATCGTAGTTGGAATCTACGATGAACCAGGTACCTGGAGCATCCTCAACTTCCACTGGCATGTTGGGATGGGGTTTTCGTTCCTTCGACGGTTTCGGGAACTTCGGGCAGTTCGGATCGGTTCTCATGTGACCGCGTTCCCTGCATCTGAAACCGATCGGAGAAGTCTTTGTGGAGACCTTGACTTCTAGTACTCTGTTCTCGATCTGGAATTTCCACGTCAGTGGAAAAAACGGGGGGTCATCTGTCTTGACCTCTAGTAAGGCCGTCATGGAGCCACAACGAGGTGCAATAAAATATGGAGTCGGAAGGATCCATTTAAGGATTTTGTTTGTTGGATACTGTCTCTCCAGTCTGTCCACCAACAGACCATGGAATCCCGGTTGAATGTTGTCTAACTGTACCCAAAATTTTTCTTTCATCAGTGTTTGTTTGTAAGAAACCGTGAAAGTCGGATTTTGCCTCTGAACTATTAGTTTCTTCCATTTGGTAATCGTACAGACCGATCCGTTGCAGTTCCAAAACTGCATTTTTGCTGCGATCCGTGCATGATCTTCATTGTTGAAGCACACCACGATGTTGTTACAACCCAAATTCTGCAGAGAAAAGGCTTCCCCAACGTATTCGAGTTTTGCTTCCTTCTTGATTGTTTCTATAATCCATTTTCTCTTCTCTGTTGGCATGAGATCTGCTCCGTTGCGAGTAAAATTGAAAACCACTCCGTGCCTTCCGTGGAGATCGTCCAGCTCGGGTATTTTCCCATCGGGGTACTTCCACATAATCACATCTTCCTCTTTCACTTTTGTCTTTTGCTTTTCTATGATTGGTTCGCCTTCAACTTTTGTTTTCTCAATCAAGAATTTAAGCGCTTCGTTGTCTATGGTATTCAGTGTTGTTTTGTCCATTTGTCGATTGCGGTGCATGGGGAGTGCATTCTGAACAACTTGTTTGAAAGAGGCCGCGTCCCGGCCTGTAGTTGGACTGCCCAGAACAGATCATAAGACAGGAAGTTGGGTGTATGTCAATCGCTGAAGGGGTGGGTTAGTAGCACATTAAATTGAGGTCTAGGCGGACTTTGGAACTCTTTTTTATTTTTTTTCACGTGGCTATGGGGAGGGAGTTGTTGTCAGATGGGGTGAAGAAGTAAGATAGCAGGTAGAGTATCGTGTCTTGTGAGGGGGCAGGTGGGCTGTGAGTAGATAATTAGGGTTGTGGATGGTCAGTATGAGCACTGACCCGTCAGGTTGGTAGCCAAGTAGAGGTGGCACACTGGCAGTGTGGGAAGAGGTGATTATCTGGCGAGGGTTAGGCGAGGGCTAGGCGAGGGTTAGGCAAGGGCTAAGATTGAGAAGATGAATAGCTGCTCAACAAATGGGGTGGCGAGGTGGGGGGGGGGAGGGGGGGGAGCAAATAGTCAGCAGAACAGACCGCAAGACAGAAAGTTCGGTGTACGGGTATCGCTGAAGGGGAGGGATAGAC